CGTGAATGAAAAAGTCCGGCCTCCACACTGGTTCATCTGATTCAGGTCAAGACTCATCTGACAAAGATCTGATTGAGATCAAATCGTCTGTCGATGGACGACTGGTCTGGAGTCAGTGTGCAACACGAGAGCGTCCTGTAGAGTGTTATCAATTCTATGAGCTGATGAAAACTCAAGTATCCCTGCAGGTATTTCTACTTTTAATCCAAACCTTCCGGTCTTTTATTCAATTTTAAAAACCTCTTCGATGTTGAAAAGTTCTCAGTGATTCTGCCTCGGTGTCATATTGTCTAAAAACCGAGCTGGAACAAAGGAGATCTGTTTCAGGTACGTGATGAAATGTGTGGAGCACGTTGAGTTTTTCCTTTCACAAAATAACACAAAACACTTGATTCTCAAGAGTGAGAAGTGTTTTCCTTCAACTCACATTTACAGGTTGGCAAATTTTAATTCGCTGAAGTGCTACATGTCGTTCTGTTGCTGTGTTTCTGTCCTCGGAGCCGCTCGCTGACTCCTGATTGAACCCGTGTGAAGCTGTGGACCTGGACGTGTCTCAAGACGTGTCTGCGTCCTTCAGAGGCTGCATTGGAACTATAGGCTGTCCTACAAATGTGTCCTTTCATCCCAGAGATATGGAGGCTCCAGTGGGTGGATCCTTCTCGGGCCAACGTATCCCAGGATTCATTGCGTTTTGGATACACAGAGCATTGCACGGTGTTGCTTTTGGGCCGGTCTCATAACAGCAGGTGAAAGGTGGTGCTTGTTTGCCATGATTGAAAATAAATACTGGATTAATTAGGTCCCAAATGCTTAAAGTCGGGTGTTAAGGCACAAAAAGCTTTTTTCCCCACAGGTTGACAGGTGAGAATTTACAATTAGAAAGTTGTTTTGTCAAATGAGAAGCAAGAAAGTCGTAAACTGCGTGTGCACCACACTGAGAGTGAGCACTGTACATTCTCTGCTGCAGATCTCCAGCGCTGCTGCGTGTACATACAGTAATTCCCCTTCCGCAGTGCCGACAGCAAAGAGCATAGGAACCAACAAATTAACAGACCGATGTTGCCGAGGAGCAGATTAGAACCTGTACTCGTCTTTTGAGGCCATAAACAAAATGAGATTAAGCAGATCTCATTTTAGTCTAATAAACTTTATGTGTTTTATGTTTGTTTTATGTTGCATGACTCTTTTCCGGCTGCGTATGTGTGTGTTTGCTATTATCTGCGCGTGTGCACGGTGTGTGTGTGTGTGTGTGTGTGTGTGTGTGTGTGTGTGTGTGTGTGTGAGTCACCGTGGACTGGTGGGCTCCCTCCACCGGGACTCCATCCTTGGTCCACTGGATGTGCGCTGCAGGCTTGGCCCCGCGGGTCACACAGGTCAGGTTGAACGAAGTCCCAGCCATCAGCAGGAGCTCCGGGGAGCCGTCCACCACCGGGTCCTCGGGGGGGACTGGAGGAGAAATACACGCTTTATGCAAGTGTGCACACATGCATACAAATAAATATGTTCACATCCAGTACATACGTGTCATTTGATCATCCTGTCATACAAATGGTGTCGATATTACTTCCTTGACCTGAACATTTACTGCTGCTGAAGTATTTCTCATCTCTTTTTAGAATAAAATGTGAAAGTAAAGTAAATCTCCACTCACTGAGCACATTGAGTTTTGCTCTCCTGGAGCGCAGCGCGGCCTCCGTGGCCTGACACTCGTACAGGGAGTCATCAGACAGCCCCGCGTTGGAGATCTCCAAGTTGTACTGGCCGATGTCCAGAGCGCGCAGCACACGATACCTGGGCCAGGCTGCAGGAGACACACAGTGAGATAGATGACAACCCAGGCTGCTGTGTGATCCATGCACTTGTCGGGGGTTTCCGCTGGAGTTCGTGCATCATACTCTGGTTTGTTTGCAGGTCAGAAAACCCCGTCGAGATAAGAAACTGAACTTCTGGAATGGAATGTAAAAATAGTGCACCGGCTGGAAAACATGAGCCACTGTTTTGAAACGATCGCTGGCATGAAGGGAGGGGTGCATTACAGCGCTGCTGTTTCAGTCATGAGTCATCGTAATAGCAATGTCTCACAAACGACCTGAGTTGGAGGATAATATCTTTATTTTAGGACGAGTGAAAAACTCTGTTTCACTTCCATCAACTATTTTCCAGGTGAAAATGTAAATGCACAGAGGAAGGAACACATTTAACAGATTCTATTTTTCACATATTGTGATTTATTTGTTTGTTTGTAGGAACATTAGCTGCTCGAAATACTCAACGCCTGCCATGAAGCTTAAACAGCAAAAAGTAAAAGCTGAAGGAATATGAAAAGTTCATGTAGTAATTTAAGTAGTTTTACACATAAATTAACAATCCACTGAACAGGGACTAGTTTTTGATAAACACCAGTGAAATCAGCTCGGGGACAACCGGTGGTTTCTCAGTATTTATCTTCATTTTAGTTTCTTTGTTTTCAAAATACAAAGCAAAAATGTAAAACGCCGGATTGTGTTCATCACACATGAATCTGAGATTGTGCAAATGTTGCGTGAACACATCTAAAGTTTTAATGAGAGCACACAAACCATATTTATTTTGGGGGTTTTATCACGAGCTGCTCCGCACACAGAGCGGCAGAACAGTCTGACACAAACAGCTCAAGGGTTTTTGCACAAACGCTCATCAAGCATTGCCACATGCGCAACATCGACTCCAGTATCAAACACAAAGTCGTTCCAATTACAACACAACCACCGGTTCTCTCTCCGTCTGAACCCTCCGCCTCTCACACAAAGACATAATTGAGCGTGACGTCCCACTAGGGGGCACTCATTGATCCTTCGTGCCCAATCCTGATATGACATCATGGATTCAGATGGCAAGAGGCAGGCGACTGGGGTTCGGAGAGGAGGAAGGAGGAGGGCGGGTTACGTGGATAGAGGATGGAGGGAGGAGGGAGGAGGGAGGAGGGGGGGGGGCAAAAGTATTAGTGGAGATTACATCATCCACTTCGCAGCATAGCAACCACAGAGGTGAAAGCACCCCAGGGAGAAGGAGAAAAGGAGGAGGAGGAGGAGGAGGATGAACAAAAACACTGCCACCACTGATGCCTGCAGGTAAGAGATGGATGTGTGTGTTTCAGGTATTTGCATTGATCCAGATAAACATGACACACATGCTCAGCATGTTGCTGCTTCAGTGATCACATATTAAAAAGGACTTTCTTA